CCACCCGGCGAGGGGCTGAGCCAGCCGGGTTCAAGCCCTGCCATGCTGGCACGGAGAGGCAGAAGCTGGGCGAGCTGTGCCCAGACGGGGCCCGCACCCACCCAGCAGGCGCTGGGCCCTCGCAGCAGGCGGGAGCTGCCGGTCCCAGGCACCGCAGGACATGTGGAGGCAGGAGCAAACCGGGATCAGGGCTCACGGCGGTGCCTTCAACCCTGCCCGAGAACTCCGCAAGGCCCCTGAGAGACCACAGCGACCCCGTACCTGTGTGGTGCCGGTCCCTATCCGGGCGATAACGACCTCCTGGCTCTTCGTCTGGTCGGTCACCTTGATCCCGTGTCGCACCTGGATGTGCTTCTCCAGGATGAGCCGGCTGCTGAAGGTGCGTTTGCCCTCCGTGCAGTACCTGCAGGGCCCAGAGCAGGGAGGCAGTGAAGCGATGCTCTGCGGCGAGGAGCCGAGCCCCAGGCTCCAGCCCTGGCTCCCCTGGGAAAGCTTGGCTCTGGCATCCTGACCCCGACTCCAACTACAAAAGTGCTCATCCACATTCCTCTAGAGGGTATAAAACCCCGGAGTCCTTCCTGGTACCTCCTTTCCCTCCTACTTCCAAGACACTCGTTGGATCCCCATCACTCCTCAACCATCCATAGCTTTCTCCTCCCCTCAACAGCTCGACTGAAGGGATCCAGAGCCGCCCCTGCTAACCCAGACCCCTTTTCCCAGCCAAACCCAGAAGGTGCTGTGGGTACCGGCAGGGATAGACGCGCTTGATCCCTTCGTGATTCACTCGCACGTGTCTCCGGAGGCTGGGAGCGGAGCAGAACGAACGCTCGCACAGGTGGCACGGGAACTTCTTCACCGACTGCAAGCAAGAGAGAGGCGGGAGGGTTAGCGCATGGGGGGCTGAGGCCGGAGCGTGGGGCTCCCCCCTGAGTGGAGAAGCCGGACGCGGGCACTCGGCGCTGCCTCAGACTTCCTCTCCTCACCCACCCCATGGCCGCACATTTGGATAACGAGTATCCGGCCTTTGCTGTTCACCAGAATAGGAAACGTCCCTGCTCCCCAAAACCTCCACCCTGACCGAGTTCGTTCTGGGGGAGAAGTAACGTCCAGAGGGCAGCAGAACACGCGCCCGGCCCAGCGAGGAACCTGGGGGTCCTGCCCCGCTGCTCTGTGCCACAAACGTCCCCCTCCCACATTCCCAAGGGCTCGGCAGAGCCGGAGCTGGAGCCCCCGGCTTTCTCCTCACCTTGCCGTGGTCCTTCTTCATGTGGGAGACGTATTCATCACGCTCCGGGAACCAGGAGTGGCAAACGCCGCACGTCCACCCGCTGCCCTTCGACTTGTTGACCGTCTTGCGCTGGAAGCGGCTTCGCTTGGTCTTGCGCAGCTCCGGGGAGCTGGGGGGCTCATCCTCCTCCGTGGAGGACGACGATTCCTCCGAGATCTTGGACACAGGGGTTTCGACAGGCTCCTGCTTCGGCGTGAGCAGGACGGCCGCCTTCTTTGCCAGGTCTTCCTTGGGCTTCTGGGGCTGGTGAGTGTTCTGGAAAAGAAAAGCCAAGGGTGTGGGCAGCTGGCTGGGGCCAGGGTTTTCCCCCAGCTCTGCAGGAGGTTAGAAGGAAAGCCTGCCCACCCCCAGGCCCCAGCCTGCACAGACAGGCTCATCTCCTCAGCCTCTGGGATGGGGGGGGACAAGGGAACTGGATCTCGGGGCCCTGCTGCGTCAGCGATGAGCAGACAGCCCTGATCCAGCCCGCAGGGAAGGACAGTTCTCAAACAGTCCCATCAGCGGGGTGTGCAGAGCGCCCAGCCCGGCCACAGCACTACCTTGAGGTGCTCCAGCATGGTGCGCTTCTGGGCGAAGAGCAGCGGGCAGTCCGGACACTTGAAGACGCTGACCCGCTGGTTGAGCAGATGCTGGTCGAAGTGGGAGGAGAGCAGGGGTTTGGGGGTGAAGACGGTGTCGCACATTGCACACTTGTAAATCATTCTGTCGGAGGAAAAACCGCCACTGTCAGCACAGCCTGGGTTTGGATCAAGAGAATCTTGGAATAACCCCTTTGGGCAAGAGGGTTGAGAGCAGCCCTGGGCCAGTCTGACCCACGCCAAGGGATGGGAAAGCGAAAAGGAGATGGATGCAGCTCCCCATGCTGGGGCTGAGCTCTCCCCCCAGCGTCCCACCCACCGAGGATGCTCCCAGTTGTCCTGGTGAGATCTGTCGGGACGTCAGCTCGCAGGGAACACTTACTTGGACTGCTGGTTGCTGAAGCCGGGGTGCTGCGTGTAGACGTGCGCGTGGGCGCTGGGGGCTGACTTGAACGCCATGGGGCAGATGGGGCACTTGTGGAACACCTCGCAGTGGGAGGTCTGGATGTGGGACTTGATGGAGTTGACCCCGCCGAAGACCACAGCGCAGCTGGGACACCTGGAGGGCGGAGGAGAACGGGAGGCAAGCGGTAGGGGACAAACGGCACAGGGGAGCTCAGCCGTGCCAGAGACCGGTACACACCAAATGCTAACAAGCAAAGAGAAACCGGAGCACAGGGCCCACGTCTGCTCCTTGTCCGACCACGGGACTTGGGAAGAGCCCCTGCCCCAACAGACACCAGGATCCAAACCCGTTCTGGGCTCTGGGAGGACTCCAGTCTGGAGTAACCAGTCCTGCCCATCGCTGGTGGATCCAGGGCCCAGGCAGCTCATCAGAAAGAGCAGGGAGAGACTGCAGGGATCTGACGCTGCCAGCCATGGCTGAGCAAAAAACAGTGGCCAGGAGGTCCCAGGAGGAGGAAAATTCCCCCAGGGTTAAAGGGGTGAGAACCAGAGAAGGGGTAAAGTGAGGCGTCCGCCCTCAGCCCCGGTGGGGAGAAGGAATGTGGATTCCTATCCCAGCTGCAAAATTAAACCTGCCGTGGACTTGGGACTCTCCCTTTTGGTCCTGGGGCATCCCCCAGGTCCCTCCGCCCCGAGCTCAGGCCGCGGTGCCCTACCTGTACCCCACTCTGCGGGAGAAGTGCAGGCAGGCCTCCTTCAGGTGGGTCTCGAAGTTCGCCAGGAGGAAATTCCCTCCGCACTCGGGGCAGACGTGGGGAGGCCGGTTTTTGTGCATCCGCTGATGGGCGTTAAAGCTGCAGCGATTGGACATGATCATGGGACACGTTGTACAAACCTGGGGGGCAGAAGAGCACCGAGAGGTTCAGCCTGGCACGTACCCACGTGGACAAAAGGGCTTCTAAGCCTTTCCTGCAGACGGACCGGCCAACACCTGCAACACCCAGAGCGGCCCCAAGCCACGTGCCGCCGGGGAGGAGAAGTGCCGGGCCTCCGCAGGGCACGGTTTAGGAGATAATCTGCTTGCGCCAGCTTGCTGGGTAATTGTCGAGGGTGTTTCGCAAGCAGACAAGATGCCTTTTCCAGGCTTTTCATCACAGATGGGTCCCAGATGCAGCGTGTGCCAAGGGTTAGCTGGGGACCAGCCGCTCGGCGAGGGAGTTTTACCAGAGGGAGCGGGGGTGTATTTAAACCAGCTGCCAAAACCATTTCAAAACTATTTCCAACTCCACTCCAGGACACAGACAGGGGGATGTCGAGGGGAGAAGCTGACAAGAACTCAAGGGAACGGGACGGGGCTCCCAGCAGGAGCTGCCCCAAAAGATGTGATAACCAGAGCAAAAGTGGGGCGAGGAAGGAAAGGAGCAGCCCCCAGCCAGATGCCACGCACAGCGAGCCGTCCTCAGGCTCCCTCGCTGCCGGTACCCAGACCGGAGTCCAAAGCGCTGCCAAGAGAGTCCCAAGGGCGATTTTGGCAGCGGGACAACAGGAGGGAACAAGGAATCGGATGGGAAAGAGGGGCTAAAGGGACGCCGGGGGGGGGGTGG